CCCCACCTTCCCCCTACCCTCATGGTATCGCTATTCTCACTATTGGTCCAGAGGGATTTATCTTTCCTGGATTCTGTGTGTCCAGAACTCTTATCTGTACCAGTGTACATGCTCTGATCTAACCAGTTCTGTAAGATAGAATTGGGGTCATGATAGTGGGGGGCATTAAGGAACTAGAAGAATGTGGTGAGTTTCGTTGGTGCTATACTGCACTCTGGCTTGCTCGCCCCTTCCTTGTGACCATTCTGCAAGGGGGTGTCCAATTGTTTACAGATGGGCTTTGGGTCTCCCTTCTGACCCATTCCCTGGAAGAAAAAAGGATGCTCGACACAGTCAAGTAAATGGAAACCCGTTATCTGCTAACATAGCCCAGTCACAGTATACAATATACAAATAGTGCCTCCTCTTTTCTGTTTCATTCTCTGCTTGAGGAGAAGAGATGATCAAAGACGTCTCAGAGTGAAATGAAGAGGTCCTTGTCTAGAATTAAGACTCAGCTTAAAGGAATGTGCTACTGGGTATTAGCTTAAATTGTATTGTAAATCACAGTGACAATTCCAGAATGCTAGTGTACATGCCCTTGATGATGTATCGGTTTCACCATTTCATCTTCTTCCACAGTTCTTAACTTTTGAAAAGATCCCTTTCTTTTGAGATTACAATACCTTTTCACTCTAAAAGTATAGTTATGTGACCGACATGATTAGGCTAGAGATACAAATACTTTGTTTAATTAAATTAGACTAACAGAAATCTATCTTAGTACTTACCCCTCTTCAGAGAAAGTTATATATTTAAACACAGAAAAAGAAATTAAAGATATTACAGTTGACAGTATTTTCTCATATTTTCCTTGAAAATATAAGCATTCTTCAAAATGTACACGGAGAAAAATCGATTTTCTTTTCATTTTATTTTTCTAAAAAGATTTAAAGCCTCCTTATACGTATCTTTTGAATTAGGAGAAGGCTTCAAAAGCTCATGAAAAAAGTGGAGAAATTTCTCCATGAACTTTTGAAGTGTCCTCAACGTGTTTGTTCATGAAAAAAAAGGAATGAAAAGATATTAGAGTTTTTCCATGAATTGTTTGAAAACCCTGTTATTTAAACATGTGCACTGCCCAAGTGTCTTTTTCAATTTTTTTTTATCATTTTATTAGGGGCTCATACAACTCTTATCACAATCCATACATACATCAATTGTGTAAAGCACATTTGTAAATTCCTTGCCCTCATCATTCTCAAAACATTTGCTCTCCACTTTAGCCCCTGACATCAGCTCCTCATGTTTTCCCCTCCCTCCCTGCT